TAGGTCCTGTAGTTAGGAATGTTGAATGTAGCACCATATGACAAGTGCGATTCACTTATTAACAGTATGTCGATTTTATGCTCGATAAGAAAGTGAGTAATTTCGCGTCTGTGTTGGCAGATGCCATTGGCATTCCATATAGCAATTTTTAATAAATTAGCCATTATTTATTTAGTTTACTTACCACAAGGGATAACATATTCATAATCATTGTATTTTGTTGCATCATTTGTTTTATTACGTCCTTTAGGTCGTTGATTACGGATGTGATTGCTGAAACTTCTTGATTTACATGATTTTGTGTTTTTAGGACCTGTGAGTAGCTCAAGTGATCAGATGTTTGATTGGTGTAGGAAATTCGTTCCCGGTTTTTAGTAATGTTTGGCTGCGAATGGTTCTGATGCTGGGAGAACGAATTCGTTGAGTTTTTGTTGTGTTTCGGAAAAAATGGGCAACCCTTATAGTTGGCGGGATGTTCGTCGCCGCAAAGGAAGCAGCAGGCTGGAGTGTCCTTTGGTTTTTTACATGCAGAAGTAGGATGATCATCACCACATTTTAAACATGCATAAGGGCGGTTGCAATATGTCCTAGTATGTCCCCAGAGCTGGCACCTATGGCACTGGATAACGTCCTTGGTTCGTCTTGGCGGTTCAAAAAACACTATTTGATTCATTAGCTTGTCAATTTTGTAAATCGCCGAATTGTTACTATTTGGTTCTAGATCCACAAAAAATATATTTAACGGTTTTTTTGTAATGCGTTGTTTCAAGTTTGTAATGCTTCTCACTGTATGTCCGTATTTCTCGATGGCTGTTTTGATTTCGTTTATATCAGTTGTATAATGTATATATTTGAGCACCACTCTAAATGCACGCTCGCTGCTTATTTGATAGGTGTGGAATATAATGTTGTTATTTTTCATAAACTTGACGGCATTTCTATAAACGTCTGCGTCAGTGACGTTAATTTTAACCATATCATTAGGCAGTGTTTTCGTGACAAATTGACCCGGTTGTAAAGCGGCACTAATTGTTTGCATCATATCGGCAAAATCATTGACATTGTATATATAAATTGGGGGCGGTTTTACGGTTGCAGCGGTCTGACTGTTTGTTGTGTTTGTATTATTATTACCGTTAGCGGTGTTACTTGGCGTTTCGTTTGATAATACACTAAATTTGTTGGTCAATTCCAGAGGATTGATTTTTGTACCACACACTTTACGCTTTTTAGCACTGCACGGAACTGTCTGCCACTTGTGTATATTTGCCGGCACTGTATTTGTCACTGGGTTAGCACTGCTAGAACACGGCTGCTCGATTGAGTTGTTAATATTGATATTATTTGGAGATGTTGTTATTTCACTTTGATCACTTTGATTTTCATTGTAATTACAAAACATATCACTATCATCATCAATTGAGTTCAATATGTTCATAGCCGACGCAATTGTTGTTCCAAGTGATGAACAGTTAGTGTTTATATTTATGTCAGGCGGTCGGCCGGGCCGATCGCCTACGTTCGACGCCATTGTCCGTATGACTCACTCACTCAGGTATACAATAATTTGTTTTGATTGATGTGCACTGGTCTGTCGAATCACCACATGCGGTGGATCTGCTGACGAAACATGGAAATTTGTAATTGACTAGTATTACAACACTGGTCTGCTATAATCTGCTTTCCCACCACATTTTTATAACGTGTTTTCCTGTATTTTAAAACTCTGAGATCAACACTGGGCAGGGAGTGTGTGGCGATATCAAGCAGGCTTGTTTTAATTTGTAAAAAACAATGGGACATGTCATGTATATTTTTGATATCGAAATATTTTTACAGTTAATAAATTTATATTTTTTTATTATGTTGGGAGTTTCTAATTAAATATATTATCATAATCATTACTACTCCCACAGTACTATTAGTTATATTAACTATTTGCAAAAATTTATATAAATTTATCTTTATGCAATAATTAACAGAAGTAGAATTAATTAAGCTTTCGGTAAATTTGATAGCTATAATTATCATATTTTAACGTTTTATGGTTTATGATAATTATAATCATCAATGCAAATAAAAAATGAATATAATCATAGACTTGAAATTCATTACTCAAGTTGACAGTTTATAACTCTTGGATTACAGTTAATTTTGCATATAAATTGTTATAGATATCTTAATTACTGAATTAATCCTTTATATGGATGTAAAATTTATGATCATAAAGATATATTTTTTATGGAATCAGGAATCAAACTTATAAATGCGTTATGTTGATGTAAAAATTGAAGTATAAATATTTTTTTTATAATTGACATGTTCATTGTTATTCAGTTTTTATAACATTTCTGCAATGTTCTTAATCCAGAGTCTGACATTGAATTTAGATTTCTATAAATCATATTCAATTTCCAGAATAAACACGCAATGGTTCTTATGAAGATCAAGTAAATTGGCTGTAAAAAAATAATAAAATAATATAATTGGAAGGTACATAACTATTATGATGAAAAAATTAATGTTCAGATCTTAAATAAGATATAATTGAATAGAACTTAAATTATATAAACGAACACGATAGACATTATATTTGCCTAAAATGATAGTACTCTATACATTTAGAAAAGGTGGAAACGAATATTATTTTTTCAATGCAGAATTGCTGAAATATGTTATTTGTTTTAAGTATATTAAGTCAAAATTTTTGAAGCTTAACAATTACTAATTTCATATTATTACTGAATTCACAATTCTGTGTTTTTATAAATTCAAACACAGCAATATTTCATTACTTATCCCTTACAATGAGCATTTTTGCTTCCAAAAATCCAATTTTTTTTGGTTGCAAAATTGCACAAAAAATTCTCTAACAAGTCTTGTTACCAAATAGGAAAAACACACATCAGTTGAAATCTCTATTACATTATTGTTTGCGAATTTGCGGTTGCGTGTCGCAATCAAAAGAGCCAACCTGAAACACCTTATTACCTGCAGGTATCACCTCGTCACAGACGCGGCAAAAACTGCCAAGTAGAATTGACGCAACTTATATGATGGCGTGATAATAAAATTAAAGAAATAATATAGAAAAAAAAACATTATTGTACATAATCCTTCACCTTTTGGGGGGTCATCAGGGTTACGCGCAAATCATGAAATATTTTTCGGTAATTAATTGATAGCGGGGAAATAAAACCTAAAAATTAATATTTGCATGTGATAACAATGGTAATCAAATATGAAGTATAATTTTAGGAGCAATAATTGCAATTTATTAAGTAGTATGAAAACTCATTAGTATATTGTTTACTATTTACAAATATTAAAAACCAAACTTCATTAATAAAATTTACATATACACAATGCTATGAAATTAGATTCATGAGTATTCAAATTTAAATTAATGATATACTATTACGTTTTATTTTATTTGTTTAAAATTTGTTAAATTTACAATTAACTAAAGCATTTAAGTATGTAATTATTACGTCCTAAATCGTTTTTTGTTACACTATAAAGATTTTAAAAATAATCAAATATAAAATCAAGGTTGATTTTAATGTCGATGCTATCTTTTCTGGATCTGAGCCAAAGGTCAATGTCAATCTTTATGTGACATTTTGTTTCTTAACGAAATCACCAAATAATGTTAGAATTTTAAATATGTTACTGTTTTATTTAAAAAAAATCTAAGAGGTCTTATGCATGTTTGATTATAGTGTATAATATTTTACACTTAAGTAATTCATTTATTACCATAAACCTAAAACAACTGCAATGCTAATATCTTCATTTCCTCTGTAACGACTGATTTTAGAATTAAGTTGATAACTATATTATTTTTTATTATTTAGATGTAAGAAATTAATTAGCAAACTGTTATTTTATTACGTTATTAAAACAACCGTAACTATTCGCAATTTCTCTGAAAATGCGTTAAAATCAACTACTGACATTTAATTATTTTATGCAATGCAATAAAGTTCCTTTTGTTTTGTTTTGCAATAAATTTATTTATTAATAACCCAGCTAGGCTATAAATATATACATGTGAATGTATAATTTACCACATTAAATTTTCCAATAAAATTTATATTATTTGCCAAATAAAATTAGATTTTTGAGAAATTTTCCATCGATCTTACTTGTAGAATATCATAATTATATAAGAATTATTTTTGTCTAACAAAATTTTCTAGGAATTCGTAACTCCAAAAATGACTAATTTTATGAACAAGACAAATATATCAAATGTATCTTTCAGAATATTTATTTTGCGGTTTGGATGTTTCATACAATCATGAATAATATGGATTTGAATTTAATCATAAAAATAAAATTATGATTTGTATTAAAAATGTCAATACCAGAAACCTTATTCCTGTGGCTAAAAAATTGATCAAAAAAATTATTCTTACGTAGATATTTATTAATATTTATATATGTATGTTTGAATTTACTTTTGTAGTTTTTTGAGAGTATTAGTTTTGGATTAAAAACTTATAAAAAATTCGTAGACAAATTTTGAAAAAAATCATATTCAAATATATATGTGTATAACATTGTAATAGTACTTGATTAATTAAATTTTAATAACAAACTTCAGAATTTTAGTTAAACCAAATAATTTTCAATATTTTTAAAAATCAATTAAAACCAAACATTAAATCAAATACATCATCAACTCATTACAAATAATCGTTGTTCTTTTATTTTTGCATATGTATCTAATAGTTTTTTATAATTTTCATCATCCTTACATAGAAATCATAGATTGTTAATTTTCAAATTACTAACATACGATAATAAATAAAAAAAATATTATTTATCAATTATTTATTATTAAACAACATAATCTCGTTCCCATATGCGTGCGCATAACATCTAAATTTTCAAAATGTCAAAATCCAAATAATTCAAAAACAAAAGTCTAGTAACATGTAAATTTTAGAATTCAAATCGCAATATAAGTAAAAACTTATATTGCAATTAATATCATGGGTATGCCTGTGAAAGAAAACCTTTCCAATGATGAAATTATGAAGGAGCCTGTTGTTACTGCGAATAAAAATGTAAGTATTTAAACATTATTTATTTAAATTGTTGAAAATAAACGTCACAGATGTAAAAACAATATGTAATATATATTTGCTAAATAAATTTCATAATAAAATATTAAATTTTCTTGGTTCTATTTGACGCCTTCTAATACTGCAACTACCATCACCTTCAAATGATGAAGACAAAAAGAATGACGTTACGTTGGCACACAAACAGTACAACTACAATCAATTTATTGATTATTTCAACGAATAATTATGTATCTATTTCCCAGGTTTCCACATCTGAAGACATCCAGTCCGTAGTTTTGATGATTCGAGACCATGTCTCGACTATTAATAAAACCGTCCAGGCCGGAGAACAGGGACACATCAACAGGATTTTACGTGGTCTGGTGGCTACCAGGAAGAAGCTGAATCCTAAAGTTTTGGAACTTGCAGCGTATTACATTTACCCCTCGGTAAAACATAATTGATAATGATTTTTAATCTAATCCGCAATTTTTAATTACTATGTTGTCGATTTTTGTAGTAAACATCAAATTAAATAATTTCTAAGTGACTTGCATTTACTGTTAATGTCTAGAAACTAATATCGGTTGAGATTTATGACGAAACAGGTTTTATCATACGCAACTTATAAAATATAGTAATAAATAATAATATAAAACACTGCCATAAAATTTGTCGTCTTGGCGCTTGTAGAGTTTTTTATAGAAGTTAGAAAAAATAGTAGTTCTAAAATATTTTCCTTAATTTTTTAAAATCACCATAAATATTGATGTATTAGATGTTATTAAACGTACATTAGACACAAAATATACTTTTGATTTCTAACCAACAGTTTTACACTTATAATTAGGTAATAACCTTAATCAATTTCTATAAAAACTATTCTGAATACAAGAATATGCAAATAAAATTTCGGATCAATATATGATTCATACCTTTTCTTATTTCATAAATTTATCAAGCAAAATGAATGTTTATATTAACATAAAGATTACTGATTATAAACAGATACAAACTAATAAGATAATAGGTAACTAAACGAAATACCTGCTAAAAAAATTGGATTTTTTTATTTTTTTAAGAAGTACTCAAAGAGTGAAGACGAATTTTTTCTATGTTTTAAACATAGTTTTTTGGTTCGTTTTGATGTTTGTTGGGTATTTGAACTGGAAAATGTGTAATCTGTAAGGTAAAACGATTTTTTTCAAGAAGAGAACATCACATATCTTCGAATCGTAATAAAATAATTGAAAAATGTAAATAAATAGAAAAAAATAAACAAAAAAAGGTTTTAGCTCAGAATTTTAGTAAAAAATTTTTATTTTCCAAGTTGCTTTTAATTTAATATCTGTTTTGTAAAAAAAAGTTTCTGAAGTGATTTTGTTCCCCTTAGAGTGAGATCAAAGACAGGCTGTTGACTATAATAGTGCCCGATCCAAAGCAAAAAGTGGTGCTGAAGCCAACAAAATCTATGACCAGTATCTCAATGCCCATTCCCGAGGTGGACGCCTACTTTCGCCTTTTGATGCTAATAAACGCCATCGACGAAGACAGACTAGAGGACGCCAAACTCTGCGCCAAGGTACCGTAAATAGAACAGTTTTCCATGTGAAAATTCGAGTAATGTGTTTATGTGCATTTGTGCACTTCAGGCCGCCTCCGATGTAATAGCCGAGCAGAACCGACGCAGTCTCGACGGAATAGCGGCCAGGATTTATTTCTATCTGTCCAGAGTCGCTGAACTTCGGGGCGAATTCAGCACCTTGCGGGCGCCTCTGCACTCCAGACTGAGGACTTGCACGCTCCGAAACGATTACGAGGTGATAAAGGATAGATGATAAATGATAAATTAAATTATTACACTTTTTGCAAATGAGTATCCAACTACAATACATACAAACACCCTTAAAGATTGTATTCCTTAAGAGTATCTGATTCAAAATATGCCAGAATCGGAAGTTTCCACCTCATCAATTAGCCAAGTTATCATTTGAATTTATTACAGGGTTTTTTGAAAACTTACTTTTTGTTTTATCTACAAAATATATAATTTTTTGTAAACAATATTTTTACAACAAAAATTGAGTTTGTACTGAATTATCAGCTTACTCATACCATGGATTTAAATTAGAATCTCATTGGAATGATAGAAGAGCAATTATATTGTTATGTTGTTGTTAGTTTTATTTAATATAATTTTTTAGTTAGTTTTAATTATTATGATTTTTTCCAGGGTCAAGCTGTGATTTTGAATTGTTTACTCCGTAATTATTTACACTACAATTTATATGAACAAGCTGACAAGCTCGTCAGCAAAAGCACTTTTCCCGAATCTGCAAGCAACAACGAATGGGCCAGATATTTATTTTATTTGGGCCGAATTAAGGCAGCTAGATTGGAGTACAGCGCTGCACATAAACATCTGGTCCAGGTAAAAAAAATTGATTGACTAAAATTGATTGAAAATTATATAGTATTTATATTGTATATTTTTACAGGCAATGCGTAAAGCACCACAATGCGCTGCTCTTGGGTTTCAATTGATTGCCCAAAAATTGGCTATTGTTGTTGAATTACTCCTAGGCGATATTCCAGAGAAACAAGTAATAATTTACTTTACTAAAAAAAATTTAGAATTCAATAGAAGTATAGTCAATAGCGGTAAATTTAAAATTTTCTATTTTTTTTAGGTTTTTCGCCAACCAGGACTGAGGCGTTCTCTATTCCCTTACCTCCAATTGACAAAGACCGTCCGGATGGGAAATCTTCAGGCTTTCGGCGAAGTTTTGGACCAGTTTTCCAACCAGTTTCAAGCTGATAATACTTGTTCCTTAATTCTACGCTTGCGAAATAATGTCATAAAAACCGCGGTAAGTATATTATTATAATGTAATTTTGTTGTTGATAGCACATATTAAATGATATTAAGAATATTCAATTCAATAATCAGTGTAAAAATATATTGGTTGTTCTCTGATAAAAGTCTTACATATATTATGATAAATAAGTTATGATAATTTTGTGCTTTATGGATAGATAGAAGTTATATAGACTAATTTGTCTATATAAAACATTTTCCAGATCCGATCAATTGGCATGGCATATGCAAGAATCACACCAGCAGATGTTGCAAAAAAGCTTGGACTTGACTCTAAGGTAAGTAAAACTAGCCTTTGGCCCATTTTTGCTTTAATCTATTACAATTACAAACATTTCTAGTTTTTTTTATTTACAGGAAGATGCCGAATTTATGGTTGCCAAGGCGATTCGAGATGGAGTCATTGAGGCGACGATAGATCCTGAATGCGGTTGCATTAAAAGTAAAGAAACTGCTGATATTTATAGAACACGAGAACCCCAGCTTGCTTTTCATGAAAGGATCTCATTCTGTCTCGATTTGCATAATCAAAGTGTGAAAAGCATGAGATTTCCACCTAAGAAACCGGTATCTAATTTGGTAAGTTTAATTACGTTATTTGACTGACTTTTACTGCTTTTCTCAAATTCGGCAGCGCAGCTCTTACATCAGTTTTTGCATCAATCACAATTTCATTTATTTTTAAATCATAACATCTTTATAAACTTTTTACTGCTTCAATATGCAGGTTCTTCAATTACAAATTAGATCAATTTCTCGCATTCCAAAAGGCCAGGTGCAAATAAATTAACGCGTCTCGAAAACGTCTTGCAGATGCAAAAATAATCAAGTGAACTTGATGGTTTATTCTTGCACGAATGTTTTTACACGAATGTAAACATTTTTATTTAAATGAGGTTAAAAATAAATTAAACTGTTTATTATTGTATATCTAAATATATAAATCGTTTCAGACTTTGCCTATTTCAAAAGAACAACAATTCTTAGAAATCGTACAAGAACTGTCTGGAGATCCAGATGAGGACGATTTTTAAGATATTCGTTATTTGTTGTATGTATGTACTCATTTTAATTTAATAAATAAATAAATAAAGCCTCTACAATATCTTCCCTGCAATGAAAAAAATAATTAATAAAAATAATTACAAATTGTATTAAATGTTGCTGACAAATTAAGTACTCTATATCATATAGTTATTTTATAGAGGCTTGTGTAATTTTAAATTATTTAGATTTCTTTAATACTACGAGTGCATTACGTTCTGCATAATATCAATATTATAAAATGCAGTTTTACCACTACTTTACCATGTTAATAACAAAATAGATTACAACAATCGATTACTGAAATGATGTCATATGTTTTGTCCCATTTATATAAATTAACAATCATTGCTCCACATATGCATATGAATGAATGATTTAGCGATATTTATAGAAATAATTCAAATGCATTAACTTCTGCATTTTTCTTGGTAATTCCTCGAGTTTGTCTTGAGGTCTCGGCTCAGGCGCATTTCTTCTTCGTCATTCTGGATAAAAGCACTTATTGTTCTAATTGAAAACAATTATTTAGCTTTGTTTTACAGACAGACGAAGTACAATGCATATTTGACTTATCTGTATTTATTGATTTTATAAACCAACGTCATTGTCGAGTGATTATAAAAAACTATAACAATTAGTATTCTGTGCACAATGTTTATTGGGATTTTGTTGTATGGCTTACCTAAAGCATCGACTCGTTGCTGAGCTCGGAAAACGGACAGAGAACGCAAACCTTGGGTAAAGAAATTAAATTTATAATTTTAATAATCAGTATAAACACAATACAGTTGATGTAAATGAATCAAATTTAAGTTAGCAAGCTTGAAATATTTGTGCTTGGGATATGGGCAAAAATTTACCTAAAACTATATATAATAAATTTATTACATGATTAAATCGATAGTTATTGATTATTTTTTAAAACGCTAAATCTAGAGAGTTTAAAGCGTTAAATTTAACAATTTTGTATAATTTTTAAGTTATTAGACCAATGAAGAATGATATATTGATAGATAGATATTTTATTTATTGATTATGGGCTAGAAAAATATTCTGAGCTCACAAAATAATTTACATAATTATTATTACAATTCATTTTAGAGATAGAATAATTATTCTAACATTATTAGTGAATCCGGCTTAGTATAGAGATAATTTTATCCAACCATTTATTTATAAAATGAGTTAATAATTTTCGTTAATTTTACATTGATGATGAAACAAATCCGAAATGAACATGTAAATGTATTTAATAAAGTTAGAGCCAAAATATGGAATATAGTGTGTTGTTGATTATATATAGGGTGTCCCAGAATTCAACGTCAAACCTCAACCGGATAATAATATTGATCTTAGCTATGATGAAAAATGTTAGAAAAAAATATTTCAAGTAGTTTGATTGAACTTTTAAGGGCAACTCAGAGCTTTGTTAAAATGTGGTCATTTTTTGTTTATTGTGGTTAGTGTTTAATACTTTTGTTCATTTGAGCTTTGGATTTATGATAGTAACCAACATTTCTAAGACCACAGTGAAATAATGACACATTTTTTTTTAATTTAATATGATAGCGTGTAAAGGAAAATAACCTACGATAGCACCTTCTATTATTATAGCATTAAATTTATAGATGATGTCATGTAATAATTTACGACAGCTTTTTTTAAGATGCTTTAGTGGTAAAGGCTTGAGCAGATCACATAACTGTTGATTTGAATGTTGACTTAGCTTAGCCTTGAATCTGGAGCAGAAGTGGTTAATTTTTTCTTCAACAGTTGAAATACTAAGGTCTTGATGTATTAGCAAGTTTGGTACATATTTTGGAGCGTTCACGATTGCCCCAAGTTTTCAAGAATTAAGCCTTTGTGTTAAACTATGAATTTAGAATTTAAAAAACCACAATAACCTAAAGCGCTTAAAAGCTTATAATTTTCAAACTACTAGAGATATTTTTTTCTTCTAATTTGTTCATGATTTAGTTATTATCAATAATATCACCCCGTTTGGGCTTGACTTGAATTCTGGTTTACCCTGCATAATGTGTGAACACATATTAGAGCTCTGGTGTATCTAACAGATTCACTATTTATTATGTTATTTCAAATCACCATGATGTTCATTGGATTATGTGTTGTTCTTTTAGAGAAGATTCAACTCTTCACAATTTAAGTGTTATCGATAGCTTCTATTCTTTCAACATTTTATTGATTGGCAAGATTTTAAGATTCAACATCACCATGGTGCTGTCGATGGTCTCTATTACCTCCGGCTCGAACTGTTTCCCACCCCGGCATATTCCTAAAGCATGCGGTCACATTGACGGCCATGTTGCTCCGCCGAGCCGTCGACTGCGTTTTGTTCCATTTCAGTTCAAACTTTCAACAGGTGATGTGAGTAATTTTAATGCGCTGCTAGTGTTTTTTTTTCAATGTAAGTTTTAATTAATTACATACATATACCACGTAATTAACTAATGTGTTTCTGTGTAAATCATATTGTTGAAGTGTACATTCAAAGGATTATTTGGTAATATTTATTTTATTTACTTGCGAGTTGTGCAGACGCTTTTATGATCTTTGTACATAGAACGGTGTCTGCGCCCACACACGTATACCTGTCATGGCTTATACAATAATGCTCGAACAACGTTACATGTTTTTTATAAAAAAAAATGTTGTGTTTTATTTTATTCTAATATTTTCCGGGGACTTTTGGAGTACACCTTGCTTTTTATCTCGGATATTTAATGACATTTTCTGATAACGTTGTTTGCGCGTGATTGTTGTCGCCGTCGTGAGATAAAATGGAAATATAATATGTATGTTCACATGCAGGCTTTAGAATTATCTGTAAATTTGGTGCTCAAAGATTTTTTAAGCTGAATTGATTTGAATAATACCTGTTGCGAGGTGATAACTAGATACTGGTTGCGTCATTTGGTAGGTGCAAAATTTGAATACAAATTTTGTGCAAATACCAACACGGACGGTCATAGAATTTATTACATTTAGTCTATCATTGATTATATCTATCATTGATTAATCCATTATTCAAAATTTTAATATTTCAATAGAATTTCAATATCTTATCTTTTGAATTCTCATTTGAATCTAAAAATATAGAGATAAAGCTAGATTATTGATGATGATACCGTTCAATGGACTATTGTAAATATGTTTTTCGCTTGATATCAATTAAACCATTCGCGATAATTTGTATTATATATTTTTCCATATAAATTTAATTTGCATTCATGCATGAGTTCATATAAAATATTCTCAAGCTTGCACTTTCTATATCTAAGAGCTTGTTTCTATTTCATCTTAGTTTTATTGATTTCCTGAAGGAAAAGTTTGTTTTCGCCAAATTTGCTAACTTTATGATTCAAGTTGTTCTGAATCGTTTGACACCAAAAATGTGTTAAAGCCAAAATTTGACTTCCATCGACGTTTCTTCAAAAACGGTTGCAATGATTTGAAAAATTGTTATTTAATGGAACTCAATAAGAATTCGTGACCTAATTAACCTATTTATCAATCCATCATTTTATCTGCCTACCAATTCACCTGTTAACCGTTTCTATATGTCGACCAATTTACCTATCAACTTGTTTATCTATCTAACAGTTGTCCTGTCTACCATTTTACATATCTTCCAGTTTACTTATCCACCAGTTTAGATATCTACTAATTTACCTGTCTACCTGTTCATCTCCACGTATTTGTTTAAAAATCTATATATCTGTTTATCTATTTATCTGTCCACTAGTTTACCTGTCCACCAGTTTACCTGTCTACCAATATACCTGTCAACATGTTCATCAGTCTACCAATTTAGCTGTCCACCAATTTAACTGTTCAATGATTTACCAATAAGGATTCGTGTTGATTAATCATTTTGCGAAATGATCGTCCTAGCCGTTTCTTTATAATTAGTAGATAACTGCAAAACTTGTTGCCAAAAAATCTTGAAACGATTTTGAAAATTTGAAGTTTGAAGGATATTACTAGGGAATTGTGCTGATTAGTTTTTGGTAAAGATTGGCCAGGTCATTTCTTCGCAATTAATTATTGAAAGGTATAGTTTCGATGATTTTAATGAAACTTTTTGACGATAGAATTCTTAGTCAGTTCTCAGTGAGTTCTCTCACTTATTAAAATTAAAGTTTGCGATAATGAGCTTTATTTGAAAAGTTGCCAAATCTCTATGGTTCTTGATTAAGTCGATCATTTACTCATATAAAGATGTTAATCCGTTACACCTAGTTTATAAAATATTTTAACTCTAATCTCATTTAATTATAATTCTGTTTTTACCAAATGTTTAGAAGCTCACCCATAACAGAAGATTATCTCAACATTTCAGTTACCTACAATTACGCAATCGAAATTAAAGAAATTCTAGGCTTTTTAATCGTGTCATTATTGTTTCGACATACTTTTTATACTTGTAAAATTATTTTTATGAAATTATTGACAAAATTTCATAAGGTGATAAGATAAGGTATATATAAGATATGTAGTTCACTCGTTCTATTTTTTTACCAGGTGATGCATGAATGAATCCAGTTTTCTGAGAAATTAGATGTCGGTAGTTTGTCATTGTTTGTTTAAAAATTTGTCCTTGGTGTAATTATATATACTTAAGACCCCATAATATAAATATTAGGACTTACATATATACATACACATGTGTATGTATATATATATATATATATATATATATATATATATGATTTAGTAGTTAATTTTGATGTTGAAATATATGAGTGAGTTCTTGAGGGCGATACATCAAACAAAGAAAAGCCAAAGATTTATAAAAGTCGTGGCAGAAATTACATAATTCTACTTACATTTTTGTTCAATAAAACTATCATTTTTCTGTTTACATCATACAAAAAAATTATATAAAAAATGCATAGTGCTGACAAGTTAGTTGTATAAATGTTAGTGCCAATCTCTAGTGCTGTTGTACACTTCTCTATATGTA